TACCCAAAGCTTGTTCCCAAATTATGAGAGGTGAATCTTCCTATTTCTCTTCTTCTTCTTCATCAAACTTTTGATTTTTCTCATTCTAAAGCCAAACTCTCTCTTTTTCTAGCTTGAATTCTCTCAGTATAAGGACTTAAATAAGCAGAAAGGAATGGTACAAACATTCTCACACTCGGCTGAACAAACACAACTCACACTCTCACACTTTGAATACACTACACGTGCACACACATGCACTACTCCAACACACCCACAAGGATTTAATCCTCTACATTCAACACCACCAAGGCCTAGCACACCTTACTCTTTAATCACATCTTGGATCACTAATAGGTTTAGATTAGGCACCAATCTTGCATTATTTAATCACACATAAGTAACCTTAATTTATTCAGGTTAGACCGAAATTCAATTAATCCAAAATAGTTCCCATCAAGGTTCAATTTAATCACATGTGATTTTTATCAAACCAAATCAATTTTTAACAAAACTTTTCAGATGGTTCTAAAAATTCTAATTAGTCAATCCATGTGCTCAATTCGGTTTCTGAAAGCATTTAGGCTAACAATTTCATATTCAAAGTAGAAATCATGACAAATAATTTTCAAATCAGATAGATATGCACAAATTACTACAAAGCACATATCACAATCAATAATAACACATAATTCCATTCTAAACACTTAGTTAGCATTCTTAATTATGAATTAGTAGCTAATTACGGACCGGGGTTGTTACAACCAAGCACAAAACAGACAAGTTGAGAGATCCTAAGGCAAGGCGCGCGACCGAGACCTCCGAGAACTCAAAATGAACACGAGCATGGATGATCATCGAGTGTTCAAATGATGACGTCCAAGTCTTGAGGACGGTAAAAAATGGGGTGTCTACAGATGGCCTTGATAATCAACCAAAATGGTGTTTTCTTGAGTTGTCGGACGTACCTATCGTCTAGTTTCACCTCTAGCACGGTTTTGATTACATCTACTATGTTTGAATGATACATTAGTCCTGATGGGTCAATGAGGGGTGCTTTTATTCATTCCTGATACAGGTTTTTTGGACTTAAAGGGTAATTTTGATTGTTTTCTGACTGCCAGCCTTGTCAACGTGGATGCATTCAGACCAGGACCTCGTGTACTAATAGTAGCCATTTTTTGAGGCATCCACTGCGAAGCTCTACCTGCAACGAATTTCGATAATTAGTCATTAGAGTGGGTTGACAGTACATCGTACGAAAACGGTATAAGCAACAACATAAACTAACATGATAACGGGAAATTTCAAAATAAGTGGGACAAAAAGAACAGTATTTAATCAATTAATGTGACACCAACATAATGTGGGTGTTTGGGAAGTGGCTATTTTAGAGGCTTTTTGGCTTTTTTAGTAGGCTATTTTAGTTTTTGTGTTTAGGAAAATGGGATGGATTTTTATTTGAGTTGTTGTATTGAAAAATGTGTTGAAATGATGTTTAAAATTAAAATGACAAATTTATCCCTAACCACACATTTTTCAATACAAATTTAAAGGGGCAAAATTATAATTTACCAGCTGTGGACTAGTTGTCACACTGCACAACGCCTATACTGTCACGTTTGACAGTGTAGGCTAGCCATTGTCCAGCTGCTTTTCTTCTATTTTTATTTTTTATTTTTAAAAAATATAAATTATCGATTTAGGTACTATTTGAGACTATTTGGCTATTTTAGTTTTTGAGGCTATTTTAACCTCAAAATGGGGTTGCCAAACAGCACCAATAATTACACAAAACTGACCCAAATGGCGACATGTCAAAAGGGAACATAATGTGTTGTTAATCGTTCAACTTCAAGCATCACTTTGTCTTCACATTGGGTGTAATGCAAAACCAACTAATTATATGTCAAACCAAATATGTCACACTACTTTTTTAACAAAAAAAAACAAATACCACGAGTGCATGGATGCATCAACATTTGCTTTTATGTAATCCAAAAGTTTCACCAAACAATGACAAGTCCGCTACATTACTCGAACACAAGAGGAACAAAAGCACATTTTTCCCAAATGATACAGTTGAATGTGCGCATACAACTGGCAAGATTATAACCTCAAACTCACATACATTCTTAACCAAAAAAATCAAAACATAACAAGGAATTTCATAGAACACATACACACCGTGGAATGACACATTCAACACCTACCCAAGGGGATTTTCATATCCCTAACAGGTCGGCCATCATATTCTAAACACATCACTAACGTCCCACCCCACCAAACCTAACCTCCCATGAACATATAGTTCGAAACGACAACAACATCAACATCAGTCGAGCAATACACCGATGAACATTGATAACAAATTATGTCACGACCTCCCGCAACATAATTCCAAAACAACATAACAGATAAAACCATATTGCAATTGACACTTTTTTTTCCTGCCCAATGTAATTCCATATTAAAATAATGGAAACAAACATGGGATATTAATACAACACATTTGTTTATGTGACAAATACACTAACATGCACAAGCAGTTTGCAATCATACAATGTTAACAGTGTATCTTGTATGAAAATGTTAAGTACATAACCGAAATGTCACATTTTGAACAACAACTACAGCAATATCAGACCTCAAATCAGAGGATTTCCCCAGTCACAAATCAACAAAATAACATCAACGTACATCACTCATTCCTAAAACAATAACCACGACTCATAAACATTCAAAAAGTCACCGTACGTACAAGCAACAACAAAATATCCCATTTACTCTTACATATCTAGTGTGATTGAAACACCAAGATGAATCTTCACAATACAATTTGATCCAAAAATCGCATATCACATTACATTAACAACCTAGGGCATGTAATGATGAATGTAATATCGACATTAGGATCCTATACATCAACGATGTGGAATTTCATGACACAAATATAACCAAACATCATCCAATTACATTGTCAATTGATACACACATTCACTGTTCATTGTAATCGACTGAAATCGTTGTAGCATCATGGTCGGCGTATCTGAACGGAGAACGCTTTTCATTACGTCTATACTTTAGTCTACGGGGAAGACGACGACAAAATCTCGCTGGCAGAGGGTAATCAGATAGCGATTAACGTGGTCCGTCAACGAAGAGGTTCATGCAATTAGGGTTCTAGCCACAAACTCAAATGTGGAATTTGACAGAACAAGTTCTCAGAAAACTCAAAAATATCTGGGGTTTCAATCGACTAGAATGGAAATGTCTCCAATGTAGGCACGTCTCTTCACAATGTTTACATATGAAGATCGTAACTAGGGGTGGGCGCAGGTCCATTGCAACCACGAAACCTCCAATCCGCCATCCGTCCGCCAGATTGGCGGATTGGAGAAAATTAATCTGTATCCGTCTGCCAATCAGGCAAATGTGGATTGAGCGGATTGGCGGATTGGTAGATGGATGTGATCGGTTTGGCAGTTCAAAATTTTATAAATTTTAAACATAATTCAACTTGTGTACTTTCTCAAAAAAAAAAAATTACTATTAATGACTTAAAAAATTATAACAATCACTGCATACATCATCCAAAGAAAGAAAGTTTGAAACTTTAGAATATTACAATCACTGTATGCCTCATCTACATAAAGTATTACAATATGTGGTTCTTAAAATATAAAAATAATTCAAACCACTAAAATCATGAACATAACAGTGGTAGAGATTGTATGCATTTGTATTGTCACATCTATATCTATTTTTGAAAACAAAAACCAACCAGCATATATCATCTTTTTTATTTATTATTTTTAGAGTTAAATTTAAAACCAAAAAATATATTCAAGTTAAAAACTCTTTTTCAACAGAATATATTTAACATAATATTTAAACTCTTTTTTAATTGAAAATACAAATATAATATCTAAACAAATTGAAAATACAAAATTTTACAAATTACTACGTGTGCTCGCGGTTTGGCGGTTTAGTTGCGGCCAGAAGAATCTCAAATCCGTCATCCGTCCAAAATTAGGCGGATTGGAAAAAATCAATCCGCAACCGTCTGCTCGTCATCACGCATCCGTCCAAAATACGACGGATTGGTTCGGTTCGGTCGGTTTGGGCGGATCGATATATCCGCTACTCATCCCTAATCGTAACATTCGATCGAAAACGAGAGAAAGCAAAAAAAATTCATATAGTAAGCTTTATGTCCACTAGTATAATTTCACCCACAACAAAAAAACCACAATACCCCCATGAAACACATCAACACGCGCGTTTATGAGGAATTATGTGTCAATCCGTATGTTTTAGGACTTTTCAGTTCAACAAATAAATTGTTGGACTAACTAATGCACAAGTTTACAAAATAAGATTTATTAGTGCTTTACCCTAAAAAAAATACCACAATTATAATAAAATAAAAAAATTAATTTTTGTCAATTTTAATTCTAATTTTTTTTTTTTTTATCGATCTAAATCATCATTCTACTTTTATTAAGTAAAATTAACTAAAAAAATTATATTGTCATCATTAAACTTGATATAAATGAATATAAAATGTCTAAAATAATTTTGTTTAAATTTAATGATTAAAATACATTTTTTTCATTAAGGTAGTTTGTAAAGTCACACCCTTGTTTCTTTCACCTTACTGGAGACACTAGCAACCCCTCATTGTGCTACCCCATCCCCTGTCCATGACCTTAGTCCCTTATTCATCACTCCCTTCCTAGATTTCACCTCCCACCATTGCCGCCTCCTCTTTCTCTTTCTTCTTTTCCAAATGAGTCAGGCAGAGATTTGCAATGGTAGATAAGGGTTGTCGGTAAGAGAGAGGGAATTTGCAATGAGAGGTATGCTTCAAAATGAAAGATACACCCATTTAGGCGAGGATAGCTTGCTTTGCTACCATCTCCCCCAAAGATTAATGCTCTCTTGTTTCACGATGCAGGAAAAGACCTACTTAGAAAGCTTTTAAAAAAAGCTGAACACCCAAACACATACATACAGACTACAAAATATTGGCAGCAAGCTTCAACAATACAGTAAACATGTTCATACACAAGGCATGTACTGTGCTCATCGTATCAAAAAAACAAAAAAGAAAAATGTCAGATACAGCAAACATGTTCATTTCAACTGCAGCAGCTCCGGCAGCCATTAAAGCTATGTCGAGCTGCAATTGAACATGCCAACATGTTTGGATTGTGAGTGGGATGTCAAAGGAGCTGTTTCCACCAAGGCATGGAAAGCCATGTACAAGCTCGAGTATGAACAAGTCTGTTGAGTTTGACATACATTCTAACATGGAGCGTCCAATACAAGATGGCATACATGCAGTGTCAATTTTTGTAAGACATACAATCTAACATGGAAAAAGCATTTTCCACAACCTTTAATGGAAAAAGCAACACCCTCTTAAAGAGAAGCATTTGACAAGAAGACAACACCACTATTTATGAGAAGCAGTTGATCAGAACTCTCAAACTGAGATTTCTCAGGGATGAATATCATGTAAGCCAGTCTAAGTTGACATCTTCTTTAAGCACATTTAACTTCAGATTGGTGAGATGAATCTTATAATGCTCCCAGAGATGGGCAGTTTCTTCATCACATATCAAATCTTTTAATTGCTTAAGATCCTTCACAGAGTACGGCAGCTCAGACAATCCCCGACAACCTCTCATGTGGAGCTTTCTCAGACCACATAACTCACCCATCCGTCCTGGCAATGTACTCATGCTTATACAGTCAGATATATCAAGAAAGCTTAATCTCTGGAGGCTTCCAATCGACTCAGGCAGCTCTAACAGTTTCGTACAGGCATGAAGCCTCAACACTTCTAAATTTTCCAGATTTCCAAGCCCTTCAGGAAGTGAAATGAGCTCATGACAGTTGGTGATGCTAAGCTTCGTAAGGGAGACGATATTGCAGATCCACGCTGGAAATTCCACTAAATCATTGCAGTAATCAATGACAATCTCCACAAGATTTGGCAACATATTGGGGACTTGGATCGTACAATTCCGAAAAGCTTCATCAATCTTGCACATAACAAAAGATATTTTCCGCAAGCTTTTCATTTGTAGCATGGATTTACTGATCGAAAGAATTGAGATATGCTCAAATCTGATTCGCCTTACATTCAATAAATGTCCAAGTAATGAAGAGTTGCTTAACTCAGCCGAGCAAAAACCATAGTTGGTGATGATCAGAACTTTCAATCGGTCCATTTTCCCCATGAACTGAGGTAATTTGTAGTTCCTAGCCTGGATGTTCAACACTAGAACTTCAACCTCAGGTAGTTGCATGTTGTGCCAGTTTGACGAGAACATTTCATCTGCAATCAATCTTCCACAAGTTGTAAATTTTGGGAAAAGAGAAATAAATAGAAAATATTAAGGAAGTTATTTTAATTTTAGGGCAAACTTCACTCTACCCCCTTGTGGTTTGGTTGATTAACTCCTTATTATTCGGAAATAACCACATAACCCTCTTGTGGTTTGTAGATTGAAGTGTAACGTCAGACATTCCATCCAAGTTAACAAGTGTGAAATACGTGCTAAAGCATAAGGGGGTTATCTGCTTAAATCTAAATGTTAGGGGCTAAACCGCACATGGGGGTTTAAAGTGAATTCTGCCTCCCAAAAAGATGACTAAAATGTCCATGGTTTAAACAATGAGATTACTTATGTACAAGGGTATTTTAGTCTCTTCGCTTAAGTCGTTAAGAGGGTGAAATGAAATTTGCCCTTAATTTTAAATAGACAAGATAAGCACACCTGTGGATATAGATACGAGGCGGGCATGGACGGGATGCTCCCTTTGTTCAATCCACCACTTAGGAAGGTCATTGGCTACTATGTCCACTATTAATCTTTTCCTGTGTTCTATGGGGTTTTGGTCACTCTGGTGGATGGCTAGGTCTCTAAGCAGATCATGTTGCATGACAAAATGCTCATTGTAGTACCCATTGGTCTCACTTGCATCTTTCCTGTGAAAGGGAATAAAATTGGTTGGTTATTAAGAAAATCAAAACATATGCATCCGATAATAGCAAATATCTAATGCCACGACTAGTCCATTGATTGGAAGAAAGAAAAGCAAAAGCATTTAGGCATATCCATGAGACAGTGAGACAACATGAAAACACATATAATAGGTTGAATAAACCAACAGTATAAAATTCCTAATTAATAAAAAAAACCTTTCCTTATTTGATGTAGGACAAGATTCTAGAGTTTTCTATATTTTCATTTTAAAAATTTTTAATATTGTATTTAAGTAGTATTCTTGTAATTTAGCTAGAATTAGGTTTCTTAATTTGTATTTATTTCATTTTCCTAATTTTAGGCTACTTATTCTCCAAGAATTAGACTAGCTCATTTGTTTCCTAATTTTAGATTATTTGGCCTCCAAGAATACTTGGTTTCAAAGATTTAGATTATTATAAATAGGTATGTAACCTTATGGCAAAGACAACTTTTATTCAATGTTTTTCAAACATTTTCTCTTCCTTGTAGATTCAAAGTTTTATTTTTCTCGTGGATTCAAAAACTTCTTTCGTCTATTAGAACAATATCTAGTACCCTTGTATTCCATTGCGTCAAGTGGTATTAGAGCAAGAGTCCCCATGTATTCCACTGCGTCAAGTGATACCAGAGCAAGGACTTGCCTGGCTCAATGGCATTCATCGGAGTAGGAAACACAAATCCTATTGACAATGATCATAAGGTGGAAGCCATGTGGGACGCGATTGAGGAACATCGGCTAGAATTGCATGAACTTCGTAACGAAATTTGTAAGCAACTTGTCGAATTGGGACTCGCCATCAACCAAGGGCAACCAACAACTGACAGCGTTGCATTGGAGGATTTGCCCGAGGCCAACCTATTATTGCGTTTTTTTGCAGAAATTACGGGTGTGTTTGGTTTGTGTTTTGAGATAAATTTAAAAAAAAAAAATTGAGGGGAGAATTTCGGAATTTTTTTGGTTTGTTTGGTTGTATATTTTAAAAATAGTTTTGTAGTATGAGATGATTTGATATTTTGTTATAATTGAGTAGATGTGTGTGAGAGAAAAAGTGATTGAGAATGAGAGATGAGACGGAAAAAGTAATTGATTGATGTGTAGGAGAGAGAATAATATTGGAAAAAAAATTCAAAAAATTTGAACCAAACAAAATTTTGAAAATTTTTCTCAAAAATTGTATCTTGAGATACAAACTAAACAAGCCCTACATAATTTAATGGTTCACGTAAATTTTTAAAAAATGATTTTCTTGATTGGTTGCTTGATCTTGAAATTTTCTTTGAATACATGAAGATTCCTAATGAAAAGAAGGTCATATTTTTGCTACGTCATTATTCCATTTGGTTCTCTATGATATTCAACCTTCTATATGCAATCATAAACTAACACACAAGACATCACTTGACAAAAAGTAATTGGTCAGTTTAAAGATTAGCAGGAACCTAGAATACCTTGTTAATACAAGATTGACCAGATTCCGGTTGGACAGTTGATGGAGGATTGCTATGGCATCCTCACCATCTTCATCTAGGTTATAACGTTCCACCCACATATCCATAAGTGCTGTGACAGGGATCCTTTGATCCTCAGGAAATGAAGCCAGGTCCAGGAAACACTCCTTGATTTTATACATTCCATCCAAGGCATCTAAGCTGGGTTTAAGGCAAATGAGAAGCTCATTGTTAGAATAGAGAATGGATTGTGCTTCAGACCACGCCTTCAGCCTATTCTTCCAGATGACCTCAGGTTCTCCATGGAGTGATCGGCCAACCACTTTAAGGGCCAATGGGAACCCCCCACAGCGTCTCATTATCTGCAATTCAATGCTGCCATATAAATCATTTATAGTTCAAACCGAAGTAAAAACTGAATTTGGAAACAACTAATGCAGAGTTGCAGACACATAAACTGAGGCTCTACTTGCGAATCTTTAACAAAATGAATTAAACATCTGCAGTTGTAAAGGAGCAATAGTAATCAAGGTTCCACTCGTCATCCCATCTAGAAACCACAGACTGTTTTTGTAATAGGTTTTACTTAGAAGTTCAAATTCAAAAATCATGGATTTAAATTCATCGTCATGCAAATTAATATTTTTAGATCAAGTTTCCAAAAACAATTTATTTGTTTATTTTTGGATCAGCAATTTTTCACAACAATTGGTAAAACAATAGCAAAACATGTAAAGCGTATATATGAAAAAATCATGATCTTAACTAATAGATGACTATCAATAACAATGATAGGGGATGAGGGAGAAAAAAAATTAACATGGGTTGTGCAATCCGGGAAAGACATGTTAACATGTGGTTGAACTGCAATTATGGGTTTGATCAAGCAGAATGGCAAAACTAGATTCAGATAATCGATCCCAAATAGTTTGGACAATGCTTTATTGAGTTGTGTAATGATGAATATGTTTTTTCTCATACGTACAAGAAGCAATTATTTGTTTCATACCTTGCTCACAAGATCCTTTGGTATGGAGGACCTTCCATGTTGTGGAAATGCTGAATGACAGAAAAGATCCATGGCATCTTGATCTTTCAGTAATTTCAATTTATATGTAGAAAATCTTGGAAATACAGATCTTGATGTAAGCAAAATTTTGTATTTGGATATTTGAAACTTGAACTTCTCAGTAAGGAATTCTGATCCTGGCCACACATCATCCAAGACCAACAATATAGGAGTTGGTCCTATTCGCTTCAGTAAGGATTCCAATTGGTTTATTGCATCTTCCTCTGTTTGAAACTCGGGCACTGGATAATCCTTGTGTCGAAACATTTTCTCAATTATGACCTTGAGGTTGGGTGACTTTGAAAAGGTAACAAAGAAGATATTGTTCTTGAACATGTCTGTCCAAACACAGTTTTGTCAAATATATAGGCTAGAGGAAAAGAATAGAACTCCATTACAAATTTAAAAGAAGTTTATAGATTAAATTAGAGAGAATATCAGATAAATGAAAATTGGGAAAATTAATTGCAAATCAACAGAGTGCAAGTAAGAATTGTACCCCGGTGCAAGTGTGGATATTTAAAATATAATGAAATTCCATAGAAGTGGTATATGTACCCAACCATGGCCTCAACATGTCAGTAGTGCTTCATACAGATTACAATTTCTACCCCTAAAGTCACATTTTCTTTGATGCAGCAGAATACCATAAGCAAGAATTCCTCATGACCACTATAGTTGATGTCATTGCATGTGAGTTGATGATGTCAAATTCCACATATATCATTGCTTTTGGGGTGGGGAAAACAGGCAGTGCTTGTCAAATTTCCGCAAGGATTTTTGCAATCCAGGGAAATTGATCTAGATGCTCTTTGCTTTTTAAGCATTTTGCTACAAAGCATAAGTGATATGCGTGGCTATTATTATTTCCAAAGCAAGGAAGCATGAATGGATGAGGTGCTGGTGCTGTTGTAGGTCACAAAGATGGTAGAAGCGGTGTCATGACAATGGCAAAGCAGGGTAGTGCCAATAATAGACATCATGGCTCAAAAGGGGGGGTTGATGATGGCAAGGGAGGAAAAGGTGCAAGTACAAGCAGCTATTGCAACATTGTCAACTGTGGTATTTGTGATGGCATGAAAGTTTAAATTTCCAAATAAAATAAGCATCTAAAAATTCAAGGATTTTAAATAAGGGGTTTTTTTTCATGAAATGAACACATGCCATCAATTCAACCTTCAAAGATTCAACTAAGGTGTTCAATATAAAGTCAAGGTCACTCATTATTGATTTATGGCTAAGCATGGTTATCAAAAACTTGATCCAGATCATAGATTCTACAACCTTAGTTGGATCAAATGATCCGGATCGCATTAGGATCTTAAAGTGACTATTGTCATAAAATTGTATAGAATTGCACTACAATCCTGATTTTACTATAATCCCAATCCTACAAAAAAAATTTAAAAAACAAAAAATACTTGCTATTTATTTATTATATATGTATGCATATGTGTATATCTATATAAGAAATTTGACTATAAACTCCTCCTCCAAACATCTCCTCTAATTTATGTTAACATAAAGGATTCATTATATCAAATTTATCATTTTTGTTTAAAGATTTTAAAATTATTTGAGGTACATTATTATTATTGAATTGATAATTTCTCATTTTTTAGAACGTTAGATCCTAGATCCGATTCTACCATATCATCCACAAGTTCCTCCCAAGGATTCCACCTAGGACCTGATTTTAACAACCTAGTGGCTAAGATATAAAGTGTTCTATATAGATAAACTTAACAAGCAAGCTTTTTGTTGTATTCAAATTCACATCAATGCATTTACCAAATTCCAAATTCTCATTCATATCAAATGTACCTTCAATTTCCTCATCATGACAAAGCATTTTCGCCAGGGTAGTCTTGCCACATCCTCCCGGGGCTGAAAGCACCACCACCTGCTCTCCCTCATTGAGTATCTGCATCTTCAATTCTCGAAGAGGCTCATCAAATCCAACAACAAATTCCGGAACTCCCGGGACACCACACCGACCCACAAACCCAATCTGCCTAAAACTCCCCCCCATCGTCCCTATCCGATCCAATTTCGAACCCACTTCGTTGACCTGCATCAAAATCTTCATGCCGTCTCTCAATTGCATCGCTTGCACTTCGATCTGAAAGAACCTCACAAGCGATTCTTCAAAATCGAGAAGCCTGTTCGAGTAGCAAGGCTTCGCGCAATAGTTCCACCACTTGACCTTGGCGCAACTTCGCACAAGCTTTTTAGCATCTCGTAACTGATCAGTGAACATTGCTGTTTCTTTCTCCGATCGATCCAACACTCTGTTTAGATTCTTAATTTCTTCGATCGTTGGGGTAATCTGATTCAGGATCGACTCAATTCGTTTGACGATGGACTTGAAATACACGGCTTTGATTGCCACATCCTCGACAACTTTCAGTAGTTCCCCAAACGCAGCTCCCAAAGCTGCACCTCCGACGAACGCACCAGCCATTGATAGAGTCTTTCCAAACCCTAATTCAGGGAAATTGGGATTGAAGAATTTTTGGGGGTTTGTTAGTGAACTAAAGTTTATGGACGTTGAAAGGGAAGCAACAGTGTGATTGGTAGAGAAGTTTCTGTGATTCTTCGCTGTAAGTTCAATTCTGAGAGAGAGAGATAGAGATAGCTTGAAACTTCCGCAGTTAGAGCATCCACACCACACCATTCTCGTCAAACCTTTAGTCAAATTATACTTAAAAAGCTTATTTTAGTGAGTTACTTTTTTCTACTTCGTCACACTCTGTATTCTAACTCTATGTTATTAAAATATTATTTTTTATTATATTTGTTATTCTTTTTTTTTATTAAGGTCAAGTTTGGGAACTTGTAAAAAAGTCAAAAAGTCTCAAAAAGTTAAAAAGTTAACACTATTCACCAAAAGTCAATAATTACGGTTGCACAACTCTCAATTCAAATTTTTTCCTACAAATCAATTTTTACAATTTTTTATTACATATTTTTTCATAAAAAGTCAAAAAGTTAATCCAAACATCCATATTTTCAACCTCAATTTTTTAATCTAAAAAGACAAAAAGTACACTTATTTATGACACTCCAAACAACCCCTAAATTGAAGAGCTCAATTGATCAAGTAGCATTTTCAGCCAAACAATTTCTATGTTTTGATTTTGTTTAATGAATTCATTTGATCAAAATATTATAAATTATCTAAATTAATTCATCATTTATTTTGTGGTTTTTGGAGGTGAAGATTAAGCCCAAATTCAGCACAAAAACATCCACAAAATAGTCACAAATTCAGCACAAAACAGCCACAAAGTAGCCTCGAAACAGCAGCAAAATAGCCTCGAAACAATAGCAAAAACAGCCCCAAAACAGCAGCAAAAATAGCCCCAAAACAGCAGCAAAACAACACAAGTAATAGCAGAACAAATGAGGCTGAAAATACACCGGGTGGACATCCAAGCGGACATCCGGGTGAACATCGGGGCAGACATCCAGGTGGATATCTGGGGAGACGACCAGTGGGACAACCAGTTAGCCAAAATTAGCCCAGTTCAGCTCAGTAATCTAAGCCTTAAAATATCAACATATGCATTCAATTTCATTGAGGCAATTTATCAAACAATTGTGATACAAGAATTTTGTGCATACAAATTTCGAACGATGTTCAAACACCTTAATTCAATCAAAGAGCCATTGATGGTTCTTAAATAAAATTACAGACCCCAATTCATCCAATCTAATCAAAATCTAGAGTACAACACAAAGTGAGAGAGAGAGAGCACTACTATAAATATAGATAAAGATCACACTTTTTTTGTGTGATGTATATTTTTTAATCACACCTTTTAAGTTTTATTAGAGTGTGATCTTTGAGAGTGTGATTAAAAGGAGTCATTTTTAATCACACCTTTTAAGTGTCATTAAAAAATGATTTCATCACATCTTTTAAGTGTGATTAATAATATTTAGATTACATCTTTTAAGTATAATTAAAAACATTTAAATTACATCTTTTAAGTGTGATTAAAAACATTTAGATCAAATCTTTTAAGTGTGATTAATAACTAATAAAACCTGTGATAAAAAAAAGAATTCGACATATTTGAAGAATAATCAATATTATTTTTGTACACTCATTTGAAGAATATAATACACACTATTTACTATATTTTAAATCACAACCATATATTGAATGGAATAACGTCATATATTTCATAAATGAAAGTTAAATGTTCAAAAGTATATACAAAGAAATTAATAAAAAGTTTTTAACTGTAATTACATATATTAAAAAATGAAAAAACTTGAAAAAACTGAGTTCTTGAATTCTTTGAACATATTTTGCCTCTCTCCAAGAAATTTCTGACCTGAAAAATAAAAATACAAATTAATTTAGAAACCGCTAGAAACATATGAATAAACTTATTATTTTTGTAAAGACTGTTCTTGTCTTACAAAAGACAAAATCGGACATTTTCTCATCACACTGACTCTTGATCCCCTGCATCAATAGAAAAGGAATAACACCTGTGATTGTTACTAGTATAAAATGTTTGTACTAAAATATATAAATATGACATATACATAGAATCAATAAGTCCAAAATGAAAATCTTCATTTAAAACCAATATTTAAAACCCTTATTAACTGTAACCACAAATTTGTCAACAAATGCACTAATTGAAATAATAATGCTAATAAAATCAAATTTTGCAAATAAAATGGAAAATTTGGATTTCACAGATAAAATGGAGTATAGAGTTTTATGGAGTATAGCTTCTTTTTATACAGGTGTACATGAGCTTTGTCCCCTTGGCACTTCTTTAATTAAATGTTTTTACTAACAAAGAAAAAAATAGGAACCCCAGACATTCTCAATTCAATATATAACCTACTTTTAAAGATATAATTCATTCTACTCCAAATATATATTCATTCTTCCAAGCCCGAAAAGGAATTCAAAATGTATTCACACACCATATTATTCTGCTGAGATTGACGTTCAAGCAACCAACCACTAGAAAGTACAAAATTCCCAGCAAAATTTAGTTCAAAATTATTGCTAGATATCTGATCACCAAATATCTGTAGGAATTTAAAAACATCAAAAGGTTTAAATTAATCATTGCCAATAAATTGATGCCATACCAGTAAAAATTTGGAAAAGGTCAAAGGAAGCACATACCTCATAATTGGTTCCCTAGGCACTCTTTGAGATTCATGAGATCGATCACCAATCCATGTTGTTCTGCTCTTGTGCCAAGCCAACTCAGCTGCATGGTAAGGCCATCCACACTATTTTCAGAACAAGATTACTCATTTTCAAACACACACACACAAAGAAAGCGAGAGAGACAGAGAGAGAATCCTTGTGCTAAATCCTAAATCCCAAGTTATATACTGATCAAAAGAGAAAAAGGAAAATGGTGGCATGGAAAACGGTTTCTGAGTCTTCTCATCATTTCCATGGCACAAATACAATTACATTTTCTGAACAGATGCCATATAGCCTGACTTCATAACTAGGAAAATCCTACAATGTTGGCTTGAAGAAGTTTCCCTAATGCTTTAAAGCCATACTATTAACTGTGAGAATATTATGTAATTATGGAAATATATCAATTAGGTTGATTGTGAATATTCGATATCACAACCTAATGATAATGAGTTTGCATAGATTTAATACACAAATGAGTAGTAGCATGTTAACGTAAAGGAAAATACCGCTTTTCAAAAAGTTATTTGGAAGACTAGTGTTATTGTCTACAAAATCCTCACCCCCCCATCCACTAAACCTTAAGGGAAAATGTTATTGTTTAATTTGTTTTCAAATTATGGTCATGTTTGGTATAGTTTTTTTTCAGCTTTCAGTTTAATGTAAGCTATTTTGACGTGTTTGGTTTAGCTTAACAATGCAATTTATAGCTTTTTGTAAGTCAGAAATCAGCTTATTCTTTGAGTGGGGCAGGAGAAGCTTAATTTATAAGTCAGAAATCAACTTATGTTCATAGTTATAAGTTATAAGCTGTTAAGACATAAGTTATAAGCACTCTCCCACAGTTCTACCAAATAGGGCCTATGCACACTTCCAAGATGCATGAGGCAAAAAAAAACCCCCAAAATTCACCTGACGTGTGATGTAAAATGCCGAAACCAATAAACATGCAAATGAAAACAAAAAACCTCCCAAGTTTGGGACCTTACCACAGTGGTAGTACACAAAAATACCAACAAGCCTATATTAATAATGAAGAGAAAAGAAAAGATCAAGTTGCAAAACCATACAGAATCTGCAGCAGCCTACAAAGTGACATGATCACCCCATTCACCATTCCTAATTTCCATCATATGACAACAGAAGAATGTTAAATTTAGACCCACAAAAACTATAAATAACCAAATCAATGACAAAGGAGTAGAAAAGTACATGGACATCTTGTTCAAATAGTCGCCGTAAGCGATGGGGACATATCCCTCATATATCTCTGGGCAAGACTGAAACTGATAAACCAATATATTATGATTTGCCTTGACGGTTCGGGCGGCTTGACGGTTTATAAAAATATAATTCAAATTACAAAACTTGAATCAAAGAATAAAAAAATCTAATTTACAAATTAACTAAAATAGTCAAAATTAAAATATTCATCTAATATAACATTAAACATTAACAAACTAGTAAACTAAAAAGAAATAACCATGCCACTTCGGGAATAAACAATGTTTGTGGTTCACTTAAATCAGCAGCAATTTAGTGATTGCAATATGCAGATATCAATGACATTATTAATCAGTGAACTAATGTTGCAACAAAAGGGCATCTTACAAACCAAATGGAAACATGTTACAAAAAAAAAGGGCTCATTAGTTCACTGCTAAAACTTTTAAAATCAAACGACTTCATAAATTTTAGAATACAACTTGTTTTCACAATCCCTAATGGTTCATCATTATCCAAAGAAGTGCGATATACCATTACAGAACAGAAAATATTACAATTTATAATTGTAAACAGACCATCATCATATGCTGTTGGTTTACATCCGGGAAAATAAACCACCAATGAACTTTACTTATTCGGCATTACAAAGAAATTCCATGTGGATGTTAAGTAATGAACTCACACGAATTCAGTGTGACAGAAACTAGACCTAATAACTGTATTCTTACCTCAAAAGAAAGTTTATAGTCATCATACTCTTACTAGTTTCTGTAGAACAGCAGATAAATAAACCTCTGGTTTTCCCGACCCATTCCCCTTGTCTCCCACAACCCATTTCAGCTTTTTGTACCCAAACCGTTCAATTAACCGGGTTAAAGCCATTTTCTTTTCATCAGCGAGAGAAAAAGAAAAAAGCAAAGGGAGAGAAAGAGAGATCAGTGAGAGAGAGAAGAGCAGAGAGAGAGCAAACAGCAGCGAGAAAGAGCAAAGAGAGAGAGCAGCAAGAGAGAGTAAAGAGAGAGAGCAGCGAGAGAGTCACGTACCGACGCAACGAGTCAACGACGACGAGTAGGCGTCGATCGGCAAGGGAAGGAGAGAGAGGCGGGGGCGGTGAGGAGAGGCTACAACGGCGTGGTGTCACGACCCAACCCAGGACTTTGGTTGCAATCGTAACCTACTAACTTATTCTATTCTATTTGTAGTAAATTAAATTGTGCAAGTAGAAAAAAAAAATTAAACAGAAAATCACTCCATTTTATTATTTTAATAAGAAAAAATACATTTATAGCGTTTTTGTTATTTTATTATTCAATAACCGGCCCCGAATAAAAACAAAAGAGAGCAAAAATATATATAAAAAAAAGAAAAGAAAGACAAAATAGTGGTTCAACATCAATCCTCCTGTAGGTTCCATTACGTGACGTTATGGTTTCCCCTACATCTTGTCACCTGAAATGGTAACAACTATAAGCACACAATAAAGTGAGAAATATTATGCAAGAGTATAGAGAATACAAAATAACTATGGATGATTAGTTAGGCCAAAACACTTACTTAACTTAATTTGGTGGATAAATCATTTAAGTGACAGAAACTGAAATACATAAATTATATAAATAAATAACCATAATCACGGTATAGAATAGAATAGAACAGTGGTCACAAAAGTGACAGTCAGAACAGAGGTAAATAGATCCATAACAAACAGAATGGTTATTTAAGTCCCCAAGGCGTGGGACTCCCGTGGTGGTACTTTCAAAACATAATTGTTTATAAGGTTATAGTAAAATATTCTTTAAATTTAAACAAAATATATCCATAGGTTCCATTTTAAACAAATAGAGTTCAGAAATTAATCCACGTAATTGAAATATTTATAAAACATAACTTGTATTAATATAACTAATAAAATACAACTTGTATAGATAGATTATGGTAAGTCAAAACATATGTAAAATATATTATGGTAACTAAGGTATAATATATATAACTTACCTTAATATTGACCCCTAGCCTTACTCCACTATCACAACTTTCCTATTGTAAGTTTCCTACGTTCAATAACTTACGTGTCACTCTCTCTTTTTTCGTTTCTTTTTTCCTCCCACAGATTTGATCAACTCCTCCCTATTTATAGGGAGGTAAAAACATTATCAGGTCAACACGTGGCCAGCCTAAATCATCCCACAGATTTGATCATAACTCTTACTGGATTTGCTCATTACTAACCATAGATTTATACTTATCTGGTAATTACACTTTTGTCCAGTTTTCTAGTATAACTATATAAATAAATTAATCCCTAATCAAATTACACTTTATCGTATATTAACAGAAAATTAATTATTTATTTTACTACTACACCCACTATTATTATTATTGCTATCAATATTATTATTTATTTACTCTTACTTTTATATTTATTTATTTACTATCTTTAACTCTTATTTGGCCCAACTAGTATTATAATTCCATATTTCTGTTAATTTGGCCCCAAATAAATAATCCTTAATTAATCTCATATTTGATAATCTAATGCCAAATTAAATTATGTATTTATTATTATTTATTTAATAATATATTATCACATACACTCACAATTATATACAACTATAAATATTTATGTGATATTTAATTAAACGTTCAAGGTGTCACATTTCTCCCATTCTAAATAGAAATTTGTCCCCAAACTTGACGTACCTTAATTTTCGAAGAGGCGTGGGTATTTGGCTCGCATTTGACTTTCCGCTTCCCACGTAGCTTCTTCGATATGATGATTTCACCATAAGACATTTACCAGCGGTATGGTCTTGTTTCGGAGAATTTGATCACAACGATCGAGAATCTGCACTGGTTGCTCTTCATAAGAGAGATCTTCTTGAACTTCCAAGTTCTCATAGTCGACGACATGTTCTGGATCTCAGAGGTATCGTCGGAGCATTGAAACGTGAAACACATTGTGGACATTGGATAGTTCAGGAGGTAGTTCAAGGCGATAGGCTACAGGACCAATCATTTCCAGTATCTCGAATGGCCCAATGTAACGTGGGTTTAACTTTCCTCGCTTTCCAAATCAGATACATCTTCTTGTTGGTGAGATCTTGAGGAACACATGATCCCCTACTTGAAATTCCAAGTCTCGTCTTCGTATATTTGCATAACTTTTCTGGCGGCTCTAAGCAGTGCGAATTCGCTGTTGGATGAGTTGAATTTTCTCACTTGTGACTTGCACGATCTCGGGGCTTAACAATTTCCTGTCCCTGACTTCCGTCTAACACAGAGGTGATCGACATCTCCTTCCATACAGAGCTTCGTACGGTGCCATTCTAATGCTTGCTTGGTAGCTGTTGTTATAGGCGAATTCCACTAAAGGTAGGTGCTCATCCCAGTTACCTTTGAGGTCCAACACGCACACACGTAACATGTCTTCCAACGTCTGGATTGTTTTTTCGGATTGTCCATCAGTTTGTGGATGATAAGTTGTGCTAAACTTCAGTGTACTCCCCAAAGTTTCTTGCAATTTGTTCCAGAAGTGAGACACGAAGCGGAGGTCTCGGTCAAACACGATCGAAACTGGGATACCATGCAAATGAATAATTTCCTCAATGTATAAAGTGGCAAACTTATTAAGGGAATATATGATTTTGATTGGTAGGAAATGTGCCGACTTTGTCAATCGGTCTACTATAACCCATATTGCATCATTCTTCGAAAATGATTGTGGTAGCCCGACCACGAAGTCCATAGTGATGTGCTCCCATTTCCATTCAGGAATAGGGAGTGGTTGCAGCAGTCCTGCAGGTCTCTGATGTTCTGCTTTAATAGGCTGACAATGCAAACATTTTGAGACATGGCTTGCTATGTCTCTTTTAATTCCTGTCCACCAGTAGTGTTCCTTCAGATCATGGTACATCTTTATGTTGCCAGGGTGGACTGCAAATCTCAAGCTATGAGCTTCCACCGATATCTTCTTCTTGAGTTCCGGAATGTCGAGTATGCAAATTCGATTTCAAAATTTTAGTATCCCATTGCTTATAATGAAATCAGGATTAGGTGTATTCCTTTGCTCCTCGTACTTTTTCTTCAAAAGGTTATCTTCACATTAGCGTGCTCTAATTTCTTCAATCAAGATAGGTTCCATGGTTATGTTGGCGAGCAATCCATTGATCTTGCGAGAAACGAGAGTACATACCAAACTTCTGGTCGTCTTTCGGCTCAGTGCGTCTACCACCACGTTAGTTTTGCCTGGATGATGATGGATCTCTACATCATAATCTTTCATAAATTCTAGCCACCGCCGTTGCCTCGTATTTAGTTCCTTCTATGTGAACAGATATTTAAGACTTTTGTGATCAGTGTAAACCTCGCAGGTTGCACCGTAGAGATAATGACGCCAGATTTTGAGGACAAAGATTACCGCAACCAATTCCAAATCATGAGTTTGGTAGTTTTTCTCGTGAGTCTTTAATTGTCGTGACGCATAAGCAATGACTTTTTCGTTTTGCTTGAGAACGCAACCCAAACCATTGTATGAGGCATCACTATAGATTACGAACCCATCTGCTCCTGTAAGGAGTGCTAGTATAGGAGCTGACACAAGTCGACTTTTTAATTCTTGAAAGCAATGCTCCTGCTTGTCAGTCCATTCAAAGGGTGTGTTTTTTTGAGTTAGCTGGGTCAAGGGTGATGCTATCTTTCAGAAATCTTGCACGAAACGTCAATAATAGCCAGCTAGACCCAACAAACTTTGGATTTCTGACACATTAGTAGGTCGTGGCCAGTCTACGATTGCTGTAACTTTTTGGGGGTCAACCGAGAGGCCATCTTTGTTAATGACATGACCGAAAAAGTGTACACTAGTGATCCAAAATTCGCATTTCTTCAACTTGGCATAAAGTTTGTGATCACGTAGTGTTTGTAGAACCGTTCGCAAGTGCTGCTCATGGGCCTCTGGTGACTTGGAGTATATGAGGATATCGTCAATGAAGCTGATGACAAACTCTTCAAGGTAGGGTTTGAACACTCGGTTCATAAGGTCCATGAAGGCTGCTGGGGCATTTGTGACGCCAAAAGGCATGACAAGAAACTCATAGTGCCCGTAACAGGTTCTGAAGGCAGTGTTTTCGATACTTTCTGTTTTGACTTTTAGTTGATGATAGCTAGAACACAAGTCGATTTTGGAGAATACCTGGGCGCCTTGAAGTTGATCGAATAAGTCATCGATTCGTGGCAGAGGGTACCGATTCTTGATGGTGACCTTGTTCAGCTCCCAGTAATCGATGAATAATCTCATCGTGCCATCCTTTTTCTTCACGAACAGTACTGGAGCTCCTCAGGGTGAGGTACTAGGTCGAATGAAACCTTTGTCCAGTAGTTCCTGGAGTTGAGTCTTCAGCTCTTTCAATTCTGCCATCAACATGCAATAAGGAGCTTTTAATATTGGTTGTGTGCCAGGTTGGGTTTCAATGGTGAACTCGATTTCTCGATCAACTGGGATACCAGGTAGATCTTCAAGAAAAACATCTGAGAATTCTCGAACCACGAGGATTGCATCAACGGTGGGGGCCTCTTTTTGTGTATCGATCACATAACAAATATAACTACCACAACCCTTTCTTAGAAGTCGTTGGGTTGTTATGGAGGATATAATACATGGAGGGTTGGAAACTCCAGTCCCGTCAAAGACAAGCTTGGGTTGGTTTGATAACCTGAGGGAGACCTTTTTGGCTTTACAATCAATAGAGGTGTGGTTGGCAGCCATCCAATTCATACCTATGATCACATCAAAGTTCCCAATGCAGAGGGGAATCAAGTCGACATATAGGGTTTTGCCTTCTAAGGATATAGTACATGATCTGTACACCTCAGCACTATAGGCAGACTTACCAGAAGGAAAAAACACAGACAATATATATCCTAATGGTTCGGGTGTTGTTGCCAACTTGGCAGCAAAGTGTGGTGCAACAAAAGAATGAGCTGACCCAGAGTCAATGAGGACATGAGCTAAATGACCATGGATAGAAAGTATACCTGACACAACATTTTCGATAACTTCTGACTTTCCAGGTACTAAGGCAAAAGCCCCTCCTTGGCGTTTTTAGTCCTTCCTCTCTCCTCTAAGTCCTGCGGGTTTTCTGACTAGGCCAGAGGGGCTGGTTGTAGGATTA